CTAGACAAAAAGTAAGTGAGGACACAGAGGACTCAAACAACACAATAAGCCAACTAGATCTAACAGATGTGTACAGAACACTACCCGACAGCAACAGCACACGCATCCTTCTCCAGTGCCCATGGGACATTTTCCAGGGTATACCAGGTGTTAGGCCATAAATTATGTCTCAATAGATTTCAAAGATAGATATCATATACAGTATCTTCCCCAAGCACAACAGGATGAAGTTAGAAACCAACAACAACAGTAAAACTGGAAAACTCATAAATTTGTGGAAATTAAACAACACACTTTTAAACAATCAATGGATCAAAGAAGAAACCACAAGGGAAATTAGAAAATACTTAAAGACAGATGAAAATGAAGACACAACATACCAAAACTTACGGGAGGCAGCAAAAGCAGTATTAAGAGGGAAATGTATAACTATAAACACTTACATTAAAAAACAAGAAAGTTCTCAAATCAATAACCTACCTTTACAACTTAAGTAACTAGAAAAAGAACAAACTAAACCTAAAACTAGCAAAAGGAAGTAATGAAGGTCAGAGCAGAGATAAACAAAATAGAAATTAGAAAAACAGTAAAGAAAATCAATGAAACCAAAAGTTGTTTCTTTGAAGAGATCAACAAAATTGACAACCTTTTAGTTGGCTGGACTAAGAAAAAAGAGAAGACACAAATTACTAGAATCGGAAATGAAACTGGGGACATTAATTCCAGAAATAAAAAGGATTGTAAGTGAGTATTGTGAGCAATTGTATGCCAGCAAATTGGAAAACCTAGATGAAATGGTCAAATCTATTTTTAATAACATGTGACACTTCACCTTTGACACACCCACTGGCATTATCTTTTTTAATTGAGATATAACACACACATAGTGCATTAATCTTAAGTGTACAACACATTGACTTTTTTTAAAGAATTTATTTTTGGGACGCCTGGGTGGCTCAGTCGGTTAAGCATCTGCCTTCAGCTCAAGTCGTGATCTCAGTGTCCTGGGATCGAGCCCCGTGTTGAGCCCCAAGTTGGGCTCCCTGCTCAGTAGAAGGTCTGCTTTTCCCTCTCTCTCTCTCTGACAAATAAGTGGATAGAATCTTAAAAAAAAAAAAAGGTAAACTATAAAAAACTTTAACCCCCTTTGACCATTAAATGACTAAGATCAAACAAGCAAATAAAAAGACAAGACAAAAAGATCCTGCCACACAATAGGCTCTCTCAAAAATATCAAATGAATAAATTATAAAGCTCAAGGAACATAATTATCAAATCATCTTGCAAGTTACACCTACCATTGAAATTAATAAATGAGCCATTTATACATTAGACTTTCATGAGTGTTATTGGCATGAGTCAGTCCTTTGGAGCCCAGTCATATCTGCATTTTTAAAATCCCATTTCTGAGATAGACCTTTTTGAAAAATGACCAGACGAAGGTAAAGCCACCCCGTCAGAGCCACCCATTATGCTTTGCTCTGGGACATGCTACCATCTTTCTATAAATTACCACAAGACCTACCTCATAATGTTGCTGTACTAAAAAGAGTAAGGTACATAAATTAGCACCTAGCACAGCAACTGACAGAAAGCAGTAATTTAAGAAACCTTAGGCCCCCTGTAGCAGCCACTTTCTGTGCCCTGTATCTTCTCTGCCCCTCTCTGATTTCAGCTATGGCTGAGGTGGACAGTTCTTTGGAGCTCAGACTCAGCTTGTGCTAAATCATCCCAACCTGGGCCTTTTGCAGAGCCTCGGTGCCCATTGGTGGCTAAATGCACCTGCCTCCTGTCCTTCTGGTGGGCAATTTCTGGAGATGTTCTGTTTCCCTCCTCAGAAAGTTGCAGTGGAATCAAAGTCCCAACGCGCACAACAGTAACATCGCTGTCCTCCTAAATTGGCTTTTCCTTCTTCACGATATCACACTGCCTCACTTCTGCATTCTTGAATCACCTAAATTAACTGCCTAAACCTACATCGGCTTTTAGGGACATGCAAATTAAGACTGTCCCTTTCCCACTCTCCTCTCCCATAATCCATTGCTCTTCTTTCATGGGTTTTCCCCAGCCAACACGCCAGCCAAACCTGGACTGTAACAGGAACATGGAGAATTATAATCCATTGATTTACTGGTCTCTGCCCATTCCTGGAGCACAAACCGCTCAAGGGCAGGGACCCTGTGCCGTGCTTGGGATCCGCAGTGTCCAGTGGAAGAGAGAGATGGAAGCAGGTAGGCACTTCACCAAGCTGTGGAAGTCATGGAGGCCGTTCTCTAGTTTTCCTATTTTCTGCCTTCTTCCGGGCACATGGTAGGACTGAATTTCTCAGCACTCTTGAAGTTAAGCATAGCCACATGGCTAAACAGACTGGGCAGGAGAGTCTGCCCTACTCAGGAGCCAGGTTGGTGGCTTGTAAGGCAATTAGTTATATGGTATTTGAGGCAGGGAAGTGATATGATTTCTTCTTTTGTTTTGTTTTTTAAGATTTTATTTATTTATTTGACAGAGAGACAGCGAGAGAGGGAACACAAGCAGAGGAAGTGGGAGAGGGAGAAGCAGGCTTCCCGCCGAGTAGGGAGCCCGATGCAGGGCTCAATCCCGGGACCCTGGAACCATGACCTGAGCCGAAGGCAGACTCTTAACCGACTGAGCCACCCAGGCGCCCCGGAAGTGATATGATATCATCAGCATTTCAAAAAATATTATTCTGGAAACTGTGGAAGGTGAATTGGAAGACCAGTTAGGAGGCATTTCTAATCCTTGTAAGAGACCAGGGGCTACACGGAAGCAGAGCAGTGGGGAAGGAGAGCCAGGACAAGTGTTGAGGGGTAGACCTCGGAGGCCCCTCTGTGCTCTCTGTTGGGCTCTCACCACACCCAGGCTGCCCCCATCTCAGCGCTTACCCCAGCATACTCTGGCTACGTAGTTATTAACTGTAGTCTTCTTGGAGGTAGGAATTTTTTTTTCTTTCATTTTTGTTTTTGTTTTTGTTTTTACAAATTAACGTTTTATTATTCAATTTAAAAGGCAGTGAAATAGGGGCGCTGGGTGGCTCAGTCGTTAAGCGTCTGCCTTCGGCTCAGGTCATGACCCCAGGGTCCTGGAGTCGAGCCCCGCATCGGGCTCCCTGCTCGGCGGGAAGCCAGCTTCTCCCTCTCCCACTCCCCCTGCTTGTGTTCCTTCTCTCACTGTGTCTCTCTCTGTCAAGTAAATAAAATCTTTAAGAAAAAATTAAATTAAATTTTTTTAAAAAGGCAGTGAAATATTAGAGAGGTTTTAGCTTCCTGGGAAACCAATAAGAAAAGTAAAATGTGTCCAATAAATAGGTATGGGTTTTTAGCTTTTAAAGAGATAGGTTTCTTTTTCAAGCGTTATATTTGACAGGACAATTTTCTGTATTAAAATGATTGTTCCGGGGCGCCTGGGTGGCTTAGTCAGTCAAGCGTCTGACTGTTGGTTTCGGCTCAGGTCATGATCTCGGGGTTGTCGGATCAAGCCCCACGTCAGGCTCTGTGCTCAAGGCAGAGACTGCTTCAGGTTCTCTCTCCCTCTCCCTCTCACCCACGCTCTCTCTCTCTCAAATAAATAAATCTTAAAAAAAACCAAAAACCTGAAACTCTATACCCATTAAATACTAACTCCTTGTTCCCCAACCCCCAGCCCTGGTAACCACCATTCTGCTTTCTGTCTCCATGATTTTGACTGCTCTAAGTATCTCATATAAATGGAATCATACAGTACTTGTCCTTTTGTGTCTGGCTTATTTCCCTTAGCACAAGGTCCTCGAGTTTCATCCATGTTGTACATGTGTCAGAATTTCCAACCTCTTCCAAGATGTCCATCGACAGATGAATGGATAAAGAAGATGTGGTATATATACACAATGGAATATTATGCAGCCATCAAAAGGAATGAGATCTTGCCATTTGCAACGACGTGGATGGAACTGGAGGGTGTTATGCTGAGTGAAATAAGTCAATCAGAGAAAGACATGTATCATATGACCTCACTGATATGAGGAATTCTTAATCTCAGGAAACAAACTGAGGGTTGCTGGAGTGGTGGGGGGTGGGAGGGATGGGGTGGCTGGGTGATAGACATTGGGGAGGGTATGTGCTATGATGAGTGCTGTGAACTGTGCAAGACTGTTGAATTACAGATCTGTACTTCTGAAACAAATAATGCAACATATGTTAAGAAAAAAGAAAAAGAAGAAGATAGCAGGAGGGGAAGAATGAAGGGGAGTAAGTCAGAGGGGGAGACGAACCATGAGAGATGATGGACTCTGAAAAACAAACTGAGGGTTCTAGAGGGTAGGGGGGTGGGGGGATGGGTCAGCCTGGTGATGGGTATTAAAGAGGGCACGTTCTGCATGGAGCACTGGGTGTTATGAACAAACAATCAATCATGGAACACTGCATCAAAAACTAATGATGTAATATATGGTGATTAACATAACAATAAAAAATTTGAAAAAAGCAAATGATGTTATATATGGTGATTAACATAACAATAAAAAATTTTAAAAAAAGAAAAAAAAAGAATTTCCAACCTCTTTAAGGCTGAGTAATATTCTATTGTATGTGCACCCACATTTTGCTCATCCATTCCTCTGTTGATGGGCATTTGTACTGTTTTCATGTTTTAGCTACTGTGAGTAATGTTGCTGTGAATGTGGGTATACAAGTATCTCTTTGAGACCCTGCTTTCAATTCTTTTGGATGTATACCCAGAAGTGGAGTTTCTGAATCACGTGGTAATTCTATTTTTAATCTTTTGAGGAACCACCATGGTGTTTTCAGTACCATTTAGTATTCCCATCAACAAGGGTTTCAGTTTCTCCACACCCTCAGCAAATGGGTCTTACTCTCCTTTGAACTACCTGCACTTTCAGCATTGGCACATTGTAGGAACTCATATATTTATTAAATGGATGGGTAAGGGATTTGGTGGCTAAGTATATATGAGGAATGAAGGACAAAGAGAAGTCCGTATCGAATCCCAAGTTTTTAGCTTGGGTGATGGGATGGATGGTGGCACCTATATGGAGAAGCAGGTTTGGGGAGAAAGAGAACAGATTCTATCCAGGACATACTGTGTTTTAAGTACCTTTAGAACATTCAGGAGAAGATGGATATTCTAGACCCGAAACAGGAGGCAGGTCTGGTGGGAGACAGAAACATGGGAATCTATATCAGTCATGGTTCTCCAGAAAAGCAGAAACATAAATACAAAAAGATTGGGGTGCCTCGGTGGCTCAGTTGGCTAAGCTTCTGCCTTCAGCACAGGTCATAATCCCAGGGTCCTGGGATCGAGCCCTGCATCGGGCTCCCTGCTCAGCGGGGAGTCTGCTTCTCCCTCTCCCCTTCCCCACTCCACCCCGCCCCCCCCACCCGCTCATGCTCACTCTCTCTCACTCTCACTCTTGCTCTCTCTCAAATAAAAAAAATAAAATCTTTAAAAATAAATACATACAAAGAGAGTTATTTTAAGGAATTGGCTCATGCAGTTATGGGAGCTGCCAAGTCCAAAATCCGTAGGGCAGGCCAGCAGGCTGGAAACTCAGGGAAGAGTAGATGTTGTGGTCTTGAGTTCGAATTTGTAGATCAGGCTGGCAGGCTGGAAACTGAAGCAAGATTTCTATGTGATAGTCTTGAGTTTCTCTGGGAAACTTCAGTTTTTGCTCCTGGAGCCTTCAACTGATTAGATGAGGCCCCCCCACATTATCAAGGAAAACCTCCTTTACTTAGAGTCAACTGAGTGTAGATGTTAATCATATCTACAAAACACCTTCACAGAAACATCCAGAGTAGTGTGTGACTAAAGGACTGGGTACTATAGCCCACCCAGTTGACACATAAAACTAACCATCAGAGTCTCCCAGGTGGTAATCCACCTCTTAAGCGCACAAGCTATGGCCCGGGAGGAACAAGGAGAATAAAAGCCAAGGCCACCAACAGTTAAGAGGTGGACAAAGGAAGAGAGCAAGGGGTTGCAGAGGAGCCTGAGGTTGTAGAAGAAAGGGAAGCTGGAAGAAAGAGGTGTCACAGAAACCAGGGGAAGGCAGTGTACCAGACAAGCATAGTCAAATGCACCCCCGGCTACAGAAGGCTCAAGCGAGGTGAGCGCTGGGAGTCAGAAAGCCTGGGGTGACCCCTCACAAGCAGTGGTGGGGCCACTGCTGGGGAGTGTAAATTGGTACAAGTACTTCAGAAGATACTTCAGCATCAGGCAGGGGAGTGGAACATGTGAAGATCCCATCGCCCAGCAGTTCCACTGGTAGGAATACAGCAGTACCCCTCTTTTCCGTGGCAGCATCCCCCCTTATCTGCAGCAGCATCTCCCCCTTATCCGCGGCAGTTAACCCCCCTTATCCGAGGCAGCACCACCCCCCTTTATCCGCGGCAGTAGCCCCCCATCCGCGGCAGCATCCCCCCTTATCTGCAGCAGCATCTCCCCCTTATCCGCGGCAGTTAACCCCCTTATCCAAGGCAGCACCACCCCCCTTATCCCTAGTTTCACTTTCCACAGCTGCTGTTACCCGCAGTCAACCTCGGTCTGAAAGCAGATGATCCTACTTCTGACGGATCGAGTGGATCAAGTCAACAGGAGCCTAATGCCAGTCATTCATCTCACTTTATCTCTCAGGCAGCCGCTTTATCATCTAACGTCCTTACAAGAAGAGTGAGTACAGTTCAATAAGACATTTGAGAGAGAGACTGCATTCATATCACTTTCATTACAGTATATTGTTATAATTGTTCTGTTGTATTATGTTACTCTTGTTAATCTTACTGTTTATAAATTCAACTTTATAAATTTATAAATTATAAATTCAAATTTATAAATTCAACTTTATCATAGGTATGTATGTGTTGAAAAAATAGTATCTATGGGGTTCGGGACCTCTGTAGTGTCAGACATCCACTGAAGGTCTCGGAATGTATCCCCCACGGATAAGGGGGGGCCTACTGTGTACTGATGCTTGCTACTCAAAGCGTGGTCCACAGACCAGAAGCGTGGGCATCACCGCGAGCTTGTAGAAATGCAGAACCTCAGGCGCCATCCAGACCTTCGACTCAGAATCTGCATTTGAACAAATCTCCAGATGATTCACATGCACAACAAAGCGTGAGAAGCACTTCATCTTTGTTGCTCGTGTTTAAAAAAGTTTGTAAACTATGTAGGTATCCCTTGCACATTTTTTTTAGATTTTTTTTTTTATTTATTTGAGAGAGAGAATGAGATAGAGAGAGAGCACGAGAGGGGGGAGGGTCAGAGGGAGAAGCAGACGCCCCGCCGAGCAGGGAGCCTGACGCGGGACTTCATCCTGGGACTCCAGGATCATGACCTGAGCTGAAGGCAGCCGCCCAACCAACTGAGCCACCCAGGCGCCCACCCCTTGCACATTTTTATGTTACTATCTAAAATTTTCCTGAAATGTTTAAGTCATTGCAAGAAAATGCAATTTCCAGTGTGTTGTAAATACTGACCCTTTACCCTCTCTGATTCATTAAAAAGCCCATGACCACTCTCTTCTGTAACAATCAGAAATTTCACATGTTCCATTTCTTCTGAATTCATATTTCTCTTTTGACCTACCAAAACATTATCTTAATAAAATATGGCTTATGTTTGAAAGTCTTCTATTCTCTGCAATGAAAATATGTATATAGATAAAAATTGATTTTTAGGGGTGCCTGGCTGGCTCAGTGGGAAAAGCATACAAGTCTTGATCTCGAGGCTTGGGTTTGAGCCCCATATTGGGTGTAGAGCTTACTTAAAATAAATAAAATTTCTTTAAAAAACTGAATTTTTAGGAGCACCCAGGTGGCTCAGTCGGTTAAGCATCAGATTCTTGATCTCAGCTTAGGTCTTGATCTCAGGGTCATGAGTTTGAGCCCCATGTTGGGCTCCACGCTGGGCATGGAGCCTACTTTGAAAAAAAAAAAAAGGAAAATTTAAAATTTCCTGTGGCCTTACAGCACTAAGTTTCAAACTTTTCCTTCTGGATTAAGTAATTGTTATGATTATCATTAAAAATTAATTTGTTGGGCGCCTGGGTGGCTCAGTTGGTTAAGCGACTGCCTTCGGCTCAGGTCATGATCCTGGAGTCCCGGGATCGAGTCCCGCATCGGGCTCCCTGCTCAGCGGGGAGTCTGCTTCTCCCTCTGACCCTCCCCCCATCTCATGTGCTTTCTCTCTCATTCTCTCTGTCTCTCAAATAAATAAATAAAATCTTTAAAAAAATAAATAAATAAATAAAAATTAATTTGTTAAAACAACATGAATATATGATAAACTTTGCTAACTAATGATTAAGCATAAAAAATAAAATTAGAGGGGTGCCTGGGTGGCTCAGTTGGTTAAATGTCCGACTCTTGATTTCAGCTCTTGATTTCAGGGTCCTGAGATGGAGCCCTGGGTAGGGCTCCACACTCAGTGGGGATTCTGCTTGAGATTCTCTCGTGTTCCTTCTTCCTCTGCCCCTCCCCCACTCACACACACTCTCTCTTTCTAAAGTAAATAAATAAATCTTTAAATAAATAAATAAATAAAATTAGATTAGAAGTGCAATTCTAGGGGCACCTGGCTGGCTCAGTCAGTAAAGCATGCAACTCTTGATCTTGGGGTCATGAGTTCAAGCCCCACACTGGGTGTAGAGCTTACTCTAATTAATTAATTAATTAACAATTTAAAAAATAAGTTAGTAATACATAACATTTTTTTTAAAAAGAAGTACAATTCTAAATAAGATGGTTGGGCCACTTTCTTTTCAATTAGTTCATGTATTTATGAACTACATGAATGAACATTATGGCTAGAATTAGACAAGATTCAGCATGAATTCTATTCCTAGTTTTCATTTTTTTTTAAGATTTTATTTATTTATTGTCAGAGAGAGAGAGCACAAGCAAGGGGAGTGGCAGGCAGAGGGAGAAGCAGGCTCCCCGCCAAGCAAGGAACCCGACACGGGACCCAATCCCAGGACCCTGGGATTATGACCCAAGCCAAAGGCAGATGCCCAACCGACTGAGCCACCCAGGCACCCCCCCTAGTTTTCATTTTTATAGATTTAAGAACTGAAAATTTTGCTCCCATAAATATGCAGATGTAAATGGAAATTTTGTCATAGCAATGTCACTAAGTTCTTTGAAATCATATGATGTTATATACCAAAACACAGTGACTTATCATCAAAAATCAATCAGCTGGTCTCCTCAACAAATGGTGCTAGAAAACTGGATATCCACATGCAAAAGAATGACATCGAACCCCTATCTCACAATGTATACAAAAATTAACTCAAAATGGTTCAACAACCTAAATACAAGAGTTTAAGAACGGTTAGAAGTTCACAACCTTGGATTTGGTGACTTTTTTTTAAGTTTATTTACTTTTTTAGTAATCTACACACAATGTGGAGCTTGAACTCATGACCCTGAGATCAAGAGTTGCACACTCTTCTGATTGAGACTGCCAGGCACCCCTTGGTGATTGTTCCTTAGGTATGGACACCAAAAGCACAAGCAACAAAAGGAAAAATAGTTGGACATCACCAAAATTTAACATATTTGTTAAATATGTTAACATATTTAGGGGCGCCTGGGTGGCTCAGTCGTTAAGCATCTGCCTTCAGCTCAGGTCATGATCCCAGAGTCCTGGGATCGAGCTCCACATTGGGCTCCCTGTTCAGTGGGGAGTCTGCTTCTCCCTCTCCCTCTGCCTCCGCTTGTGTTCCTTCTCTCGCTGTGTCTCTCTCTGTCAAATAAATAAATAAAATCTTAAAAAAATAAAATATTTGTACTTCTAAACACTTTATTACTATTTTTTTTTTTTAGTAAGCTCTATACCCAACATGCAACTTGAACTCATCAAGAGTTGCACACTCTGCTGACTGAGCCAGCCAGGTGCCCCAATCTAAAGACATTTCATCAAGAAAGTAAACAAGACAACCTACAGAATGGGAGAAAATATTTGTAAATCGTGTATCTTATAAGAATCTAGTATCCACAATATATAAACAACACTTACAATTCAACAACAAAAAGGCAAACAATTAAATTTAAAAATGGTCAAAGGACTTGAATTGATATTTCTCAGAGAAGAAATACAAGTGACACCAACAACCACCTGAAAAAATACTCAACATTGTGAGTCATTAGGGAAATACAAATCAAAACCAAAATGAGCTACCACTTCATACCCACTGGGATGGCTTAAAATACATATATATGTGGAAAATAAGTGATAGCTAAGATGTGGAGAAATTGGGATCCTCATACAATGTGCTGGTGGGAATACAGAATGGTTCAGCGGCCGTGGAAAACTGTTTGGTGGTTCCTCCAAAGTTAAATATGGAACTACTCAGAAATCCAACTCCTAGGTGCATACCCCCAAAAAACTAAAAACAGGTACTCAACAAATACATGGGCATAGCAGCACTATTCACAATCGCCAAAAGGTGGCAACGCCAAACATCCGTCAATGGAGGAATGAACAAACCAGTTGTGGTATATCCATACACTGGAATATCAGTCGGCCATTGAAGGGAAGGAGTATCGATCCACGTTGCAGCATGCATGAACATGCATTACGCCATGTGAAAGAAGCCGGATCCGGGGCCACATAGTGCATGATTCCATTTACACAAGATATCCAGAATAGATAGTTCCAGAGAAACAGGACACCTACTGGGGGTTGCTGAGAGCTGGAGGGAGGAAGGGAGCAACTGTTTAGTGGGTATAGGTTTCTTCTGGGGTGATGAAAATGTTTTGGAACGAGACAGAGGTGGATAGAGGTGGTGGTTGCACAACGTTGTGAATGCACTAAACGCCACTAAATTGTTCACTTCAAATGGTTAATTTTATGTTATATCGATTTCACCTCAATAATAAAAAGGATAAAATAATAAATCAGCTAACACTCAACTTTGTTGAAAGGACAGAGAAAGTAGCTGACTTGCAGAATGATGTCGCTAGGTCACTCACTTTCTCAGAACCAACACAGATTCTGGAACTGTCCCTTTGGTGCCCTGGTGTTTTGACCCTCTTGAATGCCCCTGGGGCCTAGTTTCTGTGGTAAGGGAGGGCTGGGCAAGGGGATGGGGCACGTGTTTTTCCTTCACAGGGGTCTCCTCGGGACCCTATGCCTTTTGGGAGAGTCAGATCTGAAAAGGGTTCCCTTACATCCATCCAGGTCCACCTACTCCTTGGACAGTCCTCCTGCACTACAGAGATATAGGTCCCTAGTTTGAAGCCTGCTGCCCCGGGAAAGCTTACATGTCCCACTCAGAGAAGAGTAAAAGAGACCTCACAGAAGCATTGTTATGATAACCACCAGTTTAAACAACGCAAATGTGGGGCGCCTGGGTGGCTCAGTCAGTTGAGTGTCTGACTCTTGATTTCAGCTCAGGTCATGATCTCAGGATTGTGAGATCGAGCCCCGTATCAGGCTCCATGCTCAACAGGGAGTCTGCTGGAGATTCTCTCTCCCTCTCCCTCTGCCGCCCTCCCTGCTTGCTCTTGCTCTCTCTCTCCCAAATAAATAAATCTTTAAACAAAGCAAATGTCCATCAGCAGGACAAAGGATTAATTAATTGTGGTGTAAGCATGCAATAGAACGAAAGTGAATGAATTACAACTATACAACCCAA